CCAACAACTAAGAAATAGTGAGAAGAGTTGGGACCTCAGAAGGCTTTTAGGACCAAATAGTAGGCTCTTGTGTCCAGGAGAAAATGAATATACTTACTAGTAATGTTAATGCTCACCCACATCTCTTCTGGGACAATCTAAATCGTTGAAGCAAGCTATTTAGTTTTCTAAGAACCTTTTTAGACGTTTGTATGTTCTTCAGGTGCTCTTCCTTTACAGCCGAAATTTCTCTTTAAATATATCCATAAAGTCTATTACACTGCTTGTTTGGTTACTTTCAGCCTGGGGCAGAGGTATATGAGAGGTGTATTTCTGAGGGGAGAGACTGTTTAACACTGGCTTTTCTGCACTGAGCTCTTAAGTCCTGAGAAATCTCATGGAGCTCCTAAGTAGGGCAGGTGTAAATAGTTAGACAGCAGAAACTTCTTGTTCTTGACTCCGTGGCATAGAAGAGCTGTTGTTAAAAGGAAGTCATTTTTGTTGTCCCTCTGGTCTGATAGAAGAGGGACACCTGATGTGTGTCTGTCTCCACCACACAGACCCTGGCACTGGCCACACATTCCCGGACAGTGAGCAGGCTTGGTCCCTGTCCAAAGGCTTTGTGATGTTTCGCTCTGATTGATGTGCCTGGAAACCTGTTTCTCAGCTACATTCTACATGTGGCCCGGCCTCCTGTCCAAGCCCAGCCTTGTGGATCAAGATATCGAGGGATAGACTGTACTTCTTGAATGTGCCTGGCTTTCCCTTATTATTTTGTTTATTTGATTGAGTGAAAGTATTCCTGGTTCTCCTGATGACAGCTTGCTGACTTGAGCAATTTTTACTTTTTCATACAAGTTTTCTCATTACTGAAATGGAGACTGCAGAAAAGAACTTTACCTTTCTAGAAAACTGTTTTCAACTTTAAAGCAACGGTATAAAAACAAATTATTTTCTTTTTCAAACCTTTCTTCTCCTGGCCATAAATCCTTTATAAATCTAAAATAATAGTACTCAGGCTTATTTCTCATTACTGCATCTCATCAGGGCATCAGTGACTTCTGAGATGGCTGTTAGCAATGCGCCTGTGTCTTGAACTCCTCAAAGATGCTGGCCAGTGTTTTGACCGCTTCCTTTCTTTCTCTGCTTTCCAGTCTTTCAAAGCCACTCGGAATTTCTCCATCTCAGATTGGAGCAAGAACTTTGAAGTGGTTTTCCAAGATGAAGAAGGTCAGTTTTGAAATTGCATATTCACATTTTTATTTTTTTAAGAGACTCTCTTCCCTCCCTACTTTCAACCTCTCTGCCACCTCCTTCTCCCCAAAGGGGTGTGGGGAGGGGGAAATCTTCTCTTTTCCAAGAAAAAAAAGAAAACATGAGTCAAGAAAACCGAGATGACGTTTACCAGCTAGATGACTTAGTGATACTGCTAGCATGCAGATGCAGAGAGTCTCAGACAAGCAACTTTTAAGACTTCCAAACCAAAGGCAGATCGACCTGTGTTGAGCCAATAAGGGTCTGTTTCCAGGGGTCCCTGTTCCCTGTGTTTCCTCATTGGGAAGTGGGAAGGAAGAGATAATTTAGTGATCAGGATGCCTTTAGTCCCACAGAAAGTAATGGAACTTAAAAAATTAAAAGCCATTTTAACACCTAAATTTGCTGCCCTGGAAAAATTTTGGCACCTTAAATTGAAGCTGTCTTCTCAAGTCATCTTGAACTTAAACAGCCAATATTTGGCCTGAATATTACCTTCTTGTAAAGAATTAATCTCTGTTGGATCAAATGGGCAATTGATGGTGAAATCTTGGCCAGAATGGTGACACAGCGTAAATGGGGATGCAGCTCAACCAACATTGAGTTGCATGTAGAAAAATTATTGAATGGGTGTATGGTCTGTTGGGTTTGTTCCTATGCAAAAATGAAATAAATATGAACAAAGTGTCCACATTTTAGTTGCATTAGGATGGGGAAATAATGGGATAAAGGGAGAATAAAAAGAACAAAAGTGCTTAGAGGAGTTGGCCAGTGTTAGTTAGTTTCTTTATAATTCTACTTCTCAGCCCTGGACTGGGGAGGGCCTCGCCGGGAGTGGTTCGAACTGGTCTGCAAGGCATTGTTTGATACCACCAGTCAGCTCTTCACTCGATTCAGTGATAACAACCAAGCATTGGTAAGTCTGTGACTTCACTGTGGATGGGTGAGAAATCGAGATCAGGTTGTTATGGGTAGGATGGCATGGATTCGAAATTATAGTACTGTTCTGGGAGCCCTATTTTGATAGGTTGCCTGTGATGTGATCAGGTTTCTTCCTTCTCTTTGCCTTTACATTTTCATCTGTGGAGTAAGAGAAAAACGGAGACAGATAATAGTTTTTTACTAAAAAAGATTATAATGCAATAGACTAGTAATTATAAGAATAGTGATTTTAATTATGCCACCTTCCCAAAACATTCCACAAACAATTGTTTTCTGATCTAGATCTTGACATATAAATAAATGTCTATAAAAACTTAATGTTAAGATTCTTCAAAAAAAAAGATGGATAAAAGAGTATAAAAAAAAAATATTCTTCAACTAAATGAGTCCATCTTTGTCCTTCATCCTCCGATCACTTTGAATGATTAAAGGATAGCTGCCAGCTGGCTAATGCCACTCGGATGGACTCTCTGATCCCCACACTGAACTTCTTTCTTCCTTAGAATGGGCTAGAGAAGAAGGGTCTTTCCAGGATTAGACCTGAAAGAAAATGCCCCAGCATCTTTGAGTCTCTTTCTTTGGCAGGTGCATCCCAACCCTAACCGCCCCGCCCATCTGCGGCTAAAGATGTATGAGTTTGCAGGGCGGCTGGTGGGCAAGTGCCTCTATGAGTCCTCTCTTGGCGGGGCCTACAAGCAGTTGGTCCGCGCTCGCTTCACCCGATCTTTCCTGGCCCAGATCATAGGACTACGCATGCATTACAAGGTAATGTCTCAGGAGTGTGTTTTCTGCTAAAGCATCTGGTTATTTAGCACCAAAATTGCTCCACATTGAGCTTATTATTATTTTTTATCCCCCTCCCCATATTAACTCACTTGTTTGACTGACATATTTTGGAGGGTAAACCTTTTCTTACATTGAGGGATATGGTGGTGAGATGTTAGTAGTAAGCTGCCCAAAGTAGGAAGAATCTCCTGTTCTGCCAGCTAGTGGCACTGGTGGACCCTCCAGAGACTGTTGGACAGGAAATGAATGCAGGTCGCCTTCAGCATTCCAAACCTTGGGCCCGAGTTACAGAATCCAAGCTTTCCAAACATTGGACCGTTTTCAGCAGCCATCTCCTTGCTGGAATTGGCCCTACTATCATCACACGAGTCTGACCTGAGGCTGAGAACCACTGTTCTAGATGAAAAAGGGTGCAGCTGTGCTCCTCACTTTGGCAAAGTAACTTGTCTGAAGGGCCTGTGCCAAAGATTTGCTCTTCCGTTTGCTCATCCATGCAAAACACCAGTGGCTCCAGAAAATGTCCACGGTGCTCCACCATGGCTTCTGTGAGAGAGCATCTTCCTTGGACATCCCCCCCATTGTCCTTTGCTTTGAGCTGATGAGCTTCTTATTGTTAAGGTTGAAAGCAGTTATAAATGTCCTCCTGAGCAAGAGTATTTATTGTCTGTTCTGTGTATTTTTTATCTCCTTAGTACTTTGAAACAGATGACCCAGAATTCTATAAATCTAAAGTTTGTTTCATCCTCAACAATGACATGAGTGAGATGGAGTTGGTCTTTGCAGAGGAGAAATACAATAAATCAGGTCAGCTGGATAAGGTGAGAGAGAGGACTAAAGTGTGGGGTCCCATATTCCCTCAGCCCTCACAGATGGTGCTGCCTAACAGACTTTCCTTCAGTGATGGAAATGTTCTGTGTTTGTGCTTTGAACAGCTAAAATAGGACTAGTTTGACAAAAAAACAGACTTTTAAACAAATTTTATTTAATTTTAATAAATTGAACCATATGTGGCTAAGGGCTGCCATACTGGACAGTATAACCCTAGAGCATTCAATTGCACATTTTATTATCTTGGTCCATTTGACTTGCACAGATGACACTAGTGGCCATCTATCTATATTATGTTCTGGTAGGAAAAGAGCTAAGTGATAATGTGTGCTTAGTAAAATTTGCTCCAGATTTCAGAGGCGACTGCATTCAAATCATCAGTGAGAATGTTGGCGACTCCTGTTTGAACACAGTACCTACCTATCTTAAAACCTGGTAATAGGAAATTACTTGATAAAAGTATTGCTGATACAAATGTGATTTCTTTAGATGTTAGGATTTAGCAATAACAAATGGTACTCATGTGCTAAAGTTGGAGTAATACATAATGAAAACCAAAATGAAAAGAAAACTTGTGACCAGCTCAAAACACCACTAATAATAACTCTTTATACTTAATGAGCTCTCTGTATCGAAGATAGGGAGAACCCAGCTGTCTGCTTTTCTGACCTGGCAAGGTGGTTAAACAGTAGAGTTTGAGTTAACATCCTTAGGTCCAAAGGAGTGTGGATTTTCATTTTCTTCTTAGGTTATTAGATAGAAATGCATAATGACATAAAATAAGTGTCTAGAAATGTGCCTAATTACAAAATATTGTGACTAATAAAATTGAAAAATAACAGGAATAAGCACTTGTGGATGTGTTGAGAAATTTTTACTCTGGAGTAACGAACTCTCTAATTTGGTTTCTGAAGGACCATAAAATCTCATGACTGAATTGTTGTTTTGTGCCATTGAATCAGAACTGACTCATGGCTGACCCTGACCATGTTGTTATCGCTAGGTGCTGTCAAGTCGAGCACGACTCATAGCAACCCTATCCTGCGCCGTCCTCACACTTCCTGACACACAAGAGCGCATTGCAGCAGTCAGCATGTCAGTCCACCTAATTGAGGATCTTCCTCTCCTTCACCGACCCTCCACCCTTCTCAGCATCATATCCTTCTCCAAGGAATAGCCCCTCCTAGCAGCATGCCCAGAGTATGTGAGGTGAAGCCTTATCATTCTTGCCCCATAAGAGCACTCTGGCTGCACCTTCTTTAAGACATCTGTTTGTCCTTTTGGACATGCACAGGATGTTCATTGCTCTTCTCCAACAACCACAGCTCAGAGCTGCCCTTTTTCACCTGTGGAGGTAACTCTGGTCACAGTATACAGATCATCTGGGGTGGTGACTTTAAACTATGTTTTAGGGCTTCCTCAGGGTCACTTAGGATTATTTAATTAAGGGGGGGTGCTAGTTGGTTTCTGTTTAAATAGGATAACTTTTTCTTTAGGAAAACTGGGAGTCCAGATGGCTATGTGACTTACATCCTATTCTAGAAACTCAGCCAGGATATCTCAGTTTTAAGCTGTGACTCTCCCACTGATTCACATAATAATAAAATCATGTTAAGGAACAGTTCTTCCCATCTTATAATTCTTAAAAAGACTCCTTGACTGCTTTCCTTGGTTATTTACTCACAGTTGACTGAGGTATCAGTCTTGGTTTAATCTTGGATGAATAAGAAATTAAAGTACCTTCCCCCCACCTCACATCACTGTTATTTGACCAGGTCCAAGATATAATTCATTCAAATACTCATTTGAGAAATAATAGCTCGTAGAGTACTCGAAGAGTGATAGCAACCTTAAAGTTTAGTAACTGAAAAAAACCAAACATGTTAGAAAACCAAATGAGCAGCAAATACTTGCCGTTGACACTGTGATGAAGTTTAGTAATTCTGTTTATGGACCACACCAGGCAGACAGCATCTTGAAAACTCCCATCCACAGCCTCTCCCTGTCTTTTGCCTCCTACTTCAGGTTGTAGAACTCATGACAGGTGGAGCTCAAATCCCAGTCACCAATGCAAATAAAATCTTCTATTTAAATTTGCTGGCCCAGTACCGACTGGCCAGTCAAGTGAAAGAGGAGGTGGAACATTTTCTAAAAGGTGAGGGACCCAGTCTATTCTTGACTTTGAAATGAAAATACATGTATTCATTGTACAACTACGGTTTTTAACTTGGCTGCTTTGTTTTAGGCCTGAATGAGTTGGTTCCTGAAAATCTTTTGGCTATTTTTGATGAGAATGAACTTGAGGTAAGTGCTTGCAATGCAGACTCTGTTTGGTTTTTTTTTAATTAAATTTTATTATTTTGTGTGCATGTACCATCAAATAAGATCTGACTGGTACAGGAGGAGACTGCCCCTCCTTCTCCTGCAGAGCATCTGGTGGATTTGAACCACATACCTCTAGGATTGCAGTGCAGCTTCTTGCCACTAGGCCACTCAGACTCTGTTCTTGTCTCATTATGTTCATGTGGGTGAGGAGTGGACCAGCTTGTTGTGTCTTGCATTCTGAGTTTGGGGAAACCCCTTATGCAAGAGTTGGTTTTACTTTCATCATTTTCCATTTATCGACCTTTTAACCGATGAGAATCTGAAAATGAAAAATAAAGGCATAATTGTTTATGAATAGTTTATTAATATGAATTTTTAAGGGAATTATGTAATACTGGAGGATCAGCTGTGGGTTGATTCCAACTTGACAGTGCACAACAATTAATATTTACAAAAGACTAATAGTAATATTGATTTGTTCATAAAATATTGATACTTGTTGAGGAATGAAAGATTGATGGAGCTTATTTGTTCAAGAACTATTTATTAGGTTCTTCCTGTGTGCCAGGTATGTTTGAGGCAGTGAGGGACATAGCAGTGACCAAAACAGAGCCCCTGACCTGGAGCTCAGTTCTAGAACGCAGAAGAAACAAACAGTTGTGCTCAGCTTTGAAAATTGCATGTTGGATCACAACATTATATAGATAATATATAGTCTTATTTCAAATCTTATAAGAAACAAAACTTGAATATAATATGATAAATACCATTTTATGATTAGCAGAATTAAGTCCATCTCCTATGTGGATAAAAAAAGAAAACTAGTATCTCTTTGCTTGTTGTTCACAGATGATACTGTAATGCCAACAAGTACTTTTAATTTCCCATAACCTTTCCAATGAGTGTGTTGCTGCAGACTTGTTTCATGGGGGAGATCGTTCTTTGAAAAAAAATTGGAGGGCAAGAAGTCCTATGGTCTTGCACAGTTTTTATTCTTATACACAGACTGGCTTAGCAAATGTCCTATGCAGGTTTCATCACATGTCTTAGCTTCTGATGTGAATTCCAGACTGCCCCATACCTCAGCCTTCATAAGGCTTCTGATAGCATTGTCTTCTGGTGCTTTTTTTTTTGAGGAGTTGAAGAGAAGCTACAGGTGTATAATTGTCTAATCATACAGTAAAGCATTTGTAACAGTTTTTTAAAGTGAGTAAAATGGAAGGACTTAGTGCTATATGGTTTTTCCACGTCCTGCTCTTAATTACACATGAGCTTATTAGCAAGTTCCTTTTGAAGGAGCCAGAGCTGCTCAGCCTTGACTTGAGATTTGCTTTTCTCTCATTCATATGTATTATTCTTTATAGTTATTGGACCAAACAGTCTACTAAGTAGCATGCTGGGTCCTGAACCAAATTAGGCTATCAAGATGCTTAGGGCTCTGATGTCATTAATGTTCTTGTTTGGAATCAAGTAGATTCCAGATCAAGTAGATTCCAAATCTTCAGTACAGCTGAATTAAAGGTAGTACATTTGCAATCCCAGAAAGGGATGGATCGGGGGAAAGAGAAGGGCCATCTGGCAAATCCATCCGTGGAGCTGGGGTTCCCCTCTGTGGAAGAGGACCTGCCTTTTCTCCCTAGTATTCTCAGGCTTAGTCCAGAGCAGATGAGCAGGAAATACTAGGTTCCTTTTTGCTCATTATTTCAATTAAAAACAGTCCACAGCAGCAGTTCTTAATTAGGAGTATATATGTTATTGTGTGTTGTGGAGTTAGAAGCAACTTTTCAGAAACAGGTTGCCCCACCTTCTCCCATGAAGCACCTAATGGATTCAGACCACATGCCTTTGGGATTGCAGTGCAGCTTCTTACCACTAGGCCACATGAGCTCCCTAGAGACACTCAGGAAATATCAAAATAACATATCCTAGTACTCTACCTCTAGAGATCCTGAGCCCATAGCACAAGTTAGATGTGTTTTCAAAAGTTAGATGTGTTTCCTCCCACCATAGGCTATTAGAATTTATTTTCTTAAAGTGCTGTTCTGACATTACCACTTGTATTTTTCCTGAAATTTTTCTCTATTCCATTTTTTACACGCTGTTGTTACATTGCTGTTGAGTCGGAACCAGCTGACCTTCCAACAGATATTCAGAGACTGTAAATGGCAGAGGAGGAAATTGCCCATCCTTCTCCCATGCAGCAGCTGGTTTACTCAAAACATGTACTTTTAGTTTGGCAGTACAGCTTCCTCTAGGCTACTAGAACTGCCTACTTTGCATGTTACAATAGACCATTTTGACTTTATATTGGGTCTGTCCCTCCAACAGTCCTTATAACACCTGACTGCCTTTCTCTAGCTGCTGATGTGTGGGACTGGGGACATCAGTGTGTCTGACTTCAAGGCCCATGCAGTGGTG